GTCCTTTATGCTTGACTTTACAAAAATCAGAATCATTCATGTATTACACTATGTACATAAACATGAATACTGAGAATATGTCTTGTCTGCACAAAACTGATAGGTTTTCTTGTGTTCAAAAATATTTGTCTGTAATAAAACTACAATATTTATCAAAACTGACAGCAATTATTGACAAATTGAACAATTAAGGTAAACATAGTTTTGTTTACATAACTGTGTCAACAAAACACTGAGAAGGATTTATTCCGAGATAAAAGTGTCTTTCACAAATGGAACAATAACCAGTAGCTGCAACTGCATAAATCCAGGTAAAATTTAAGCATCACTTTCACAGGGAAAGAGAAATTACAAGATTTAGCACAAAAACTTATACATATACCTTTTTTTTTTACATACCAAGAATAGGATCTTTTTATTCACATCAGGAAATATAACATTTACACAACAATGATTCCACTTCAACCCAAGAATGCTTCAGCCCAAATTTGGGCAATATCCATTTTTTCCTCCAGGATTTATTACAAAATAACTATATGAAAACCATTGGTAAATTTAGCAAATCAAAAATAAAAATAAAATCAAATGTAGAATGTTTCTAAAGAGGATATTAATAAAGTGTGTCTGCGTTTAGTGATCGATTGTATTGGTTTGCATTAAAGATAAATATACATGCATACATGTTCAAACTGCTCAGTTCCCACATCATATTTGTGTTCTATTGACCTGTTTACTTGCTATTTCAGGAAGATCAGAAAGGCCTCTGACATCAACTTTTGGTGTTTGGAGTTTTAAAAACATCATCCTCAGTTTACGCAGATCTTCATCAACTTTATTGATTTAATTTACAAAAGAAATGAAAAAAATTCACATCAAGCACAGAAGCCTAATGTAGAAAAGATGTTAATTTGACATACCAATTTGTAATAGGGTTAAGTTTTAGGTAATTTTGGCCGCCGTTGTCTAGCGTCGCGCCGTTGGATTTTAAAAACATGTATGTATATATGTTGCTCTATATGTTTAGTTTGCCCGTGTGACGTAGTGTGTCTATATGTTGCGTATGTTCATCATTTGGTGGGTTTTCACATCATTATGGACGATTGAAACTGGGATGGCTTTGTGCTTGCACTGAAATAGACATAATATTGATTTAATTTACAAAAGAAATGAAGAAAATTCACATCAAGCACAGAAGCCTAATGTAAAAACGATAATAATTTGACATAACAACTGCATGCCACATAAAATCATCAACAGACCCATGAGTCCTTAAAGTTTCTTTAAAATATTCGAAGTTTATGTTTAAAGCCCCAAATTTTCTGACCTGACAGAAAAAGTTGATATTTGCTATTCTTGACATTATTGTGTACCGTCAAGCCCTTAATTTAGCCACAAAGTGGTGTTAGTTGGCAAATGATACTGAAACTATGGTAGTGGCTGTAGAGACAGCATTTCATTTTTATCAATTATTGTTTTTCAAAACAGTTTATCTTTTAAAATATCAATGTGACATATCTAACTCATTAACAAAACATTATAGTATATATACATATAAAATTAATGTATTAACATTACTCTAGATTTAACTAGACATCTTAAGATTACCTCAAGTGACCTGTAAAAGGCATGAACATGCCCACTACATGTCGACTGTACCAGTAAATGAATGAATAGCAGTTCCCTAGATTTAATTATATAATCATATTTAATTATTATAACAAGAGATCAATTGTCAACCTGCACATTGGGATCTAACCACGAAATATAGCATTTATTTATTTGTTTACTTCTTTATCATGTTTTACGTCTATTGTTACAGAAAAGATTGGAAAGAGTTTAAAACAGGTCAAAGTAGCATACGTGGTCCCTCTCTACCTCATCTCTGCATCCCACTCTCACATCGCTTCCTGTTTTTATCTTCTACTCATTTTCCTATCTTTTTCGTCCAGTGAAAGGTCGAAAGGCAGCAACACTGGACGTTAAACACGTTAAATAAATACTCAACTGCTTTGCAGTCTGTCAACTTCGTTCAACTTTTGCAAATGACTTCTGGTCATAATGACGTTACCTCGGCAAAGGTCCCGATTTGAGATGGATGGGTCTGACCGAATGTCCATTCCCTTCAATTAGATCAGCTCTGTCAGAACAAGTTGATGTTTCGCTAAGTCTTGGAAGTTTGTTTCCGCGCAAAAAGTCGTCTTCCGTCTCCGAGTCTGAAGACACATTTACAATGGCATTCTCTGTATCTTTAACATTAACTTGCAGCGATTCTTGGCGTTGTCCAATCGCATTGAACAACAACGACTTATTTGATATTGGTTTACGTTTTAAACTTAACTTCTTTCTTTTCCTTTCTGCCATTTGGTCATGTTTTCATTTCTTTCTCCCGCGAAGAATTACTTCTACCTTCACACAAAAGAGTTACACAAACCTGCACAGTGGGGGCGACTAAAAACCAGAATGTTGATGCGAATTTGCTTTAACAAATGGAAAGCCCCGCATTGAGCTTTTGCTTTAATAAAAGCAAGGCCTCACCACCATGAGCTATTGTAATTTACGAAATATGATTTGAATTTGTTATGTTCATATTCAGATAATATTCCCAGTAATTTTGAAATTCAGAAACGAACTTGATTAAGATAGAAGATAATAAGATAGAATTTTAAAACCAGAATATCATTGGTATCGGATAAAAAAAAACACAAGAAAAACATATTAACAAAGGTATTTAAAAATTTTAAAGACATAAAAATCAGTTCTAAAATGAGTCTGGCAGTGCCTGGAAAGAGCAAAGCTTCCATGCCATGACAACATTTCCTGTGAAAGTAACAAGAAAATATAATATCAATAAGTTTTGGTTAATTGGTTAGTGCTTCGAGAAATGAAGAAAAATTGGCATGCTGCATTTTGTGAACGGTTGTGTAATTATCGTGACATTGATGTTTTGTGTAATTGTCTATATATAGAGATGTCATATTGGTTATTGTTATATGCTGCACACTTGGAGGTATTTTATTAATGCCATGTTTATTCATGTAAAATCATCTTTATGTGTAGTAAAGATTAAAAGTAAGTGAAACAAATTCAGGAAGCAAAAGTGCTGTCATAGTATTTTTGATCAACATAAGTATGGGCAAAGTGCAATGCACCTATGGATCCATGACTTTCACATTCTGTAGAATTTTTCTTAGACGGATAAGTCGCAGGAACTTTCCTACTGGTCTTATAAGGTCTTACACATGTTACCAGTATAAAGCTTCGCTCAGTGGCACCCAAAAACCTTTACTCTTTTTACATAACATAACTCTAAAGGTTATTTACATCATGAGCGAATTTAAGTTAAGAAAACTTTGAATTAAAATGCTGATATATGCCAGTTTTCACATGTTAATCTAAATTTTTTTTCTCATGTAACTGCTTAATTTACTTACATCTACATTTCTTACATTGTTATTTCATGAAATAAAATGATAATGAAAACAACACTTTTAATCTCATATTGCATTTTTTTATATTCCAAAATAATTTGAAATTTTGATAACCTTTTTCTTCATGCTAAGCATTGCACTTGGGATCTCATTTCTGTTGCTGTGGTCAGCTTTCTGTAGTCATGTTACTCCACAGTCGTCTGATGGGTCTCTGGCAATCAGTTTTTGATTTCATTTCTTTTGTGTGTGACTTTAATTTCTTGTCTGATGGATGGATATTCAGACTAATATAAAACAAAGGAATCAATATGACTATTCCAACCTTTCGTAATGCAGAGTTATCTGCTCTTGTCAATAGTTATTTGTTGACATTTGAGAGTAACCTCACATGAGAAAGCAATAAAATTTTCTCCTAACCCCTAATGACATGACAACAATTGCCTGTTCATAAGAGCAGATAACTCTGCATAATAAAAAGATAGTGAATACTGATATGTTCTCTTCCCTCCCCCCTCCCCCACAAAAAAAAAACCAAAACAAAACAAACGGATCATATTTATATCAATTTCAATGTGATAGATGTTCAGGATGACTTGTTGATATTGAAATTACCAGGTGAATAAGCATGTATGATACATATTTCTACATATTTGATTCAGACTGGAGATGTTTATTATATACAGTACTATGTATATATACATACCTGTTCAAACATAGCCCAAACAATAAAGCCACATCAATTTCAACAATATTTATTAAAAAGATTTTTATGTATTTATATAATTTCAAAGAAATCTGTAAAAAAAAATACTACTGGAATATCAGACAACAGAGTGATCTTCCCTCCTCATATATGATTTATCGTGCTCTTCAGTAGTATTAAGCCTATCAAAATCAGTCTTTGATCAATTTTGCTAAAAGCAACCATTAAGGTTTTCTTTAATTTCATTAGGAACAAAATTTGTTGTCTTCCAAATGGTGCCAAATCCTACATTGGTAAAGTAGAATAATACAAGATCATCCCATTATTGTATTAATCCCAAAAAATCTGACGATTTTGATGATAATTATCTTTTTATTCCTCTCTGAAATTGATAAAATCCAAACTTATCTATGGTACAAATGTGAAAAAAAAAATCTTCTAATACAGTATAAAGATTCTGTAAACTATGGCTAGTGAGTAGCTAGCAATGTTTTCTAATACATATAACAGAAAAACTGAAGTTTGTAATAAAGAAAAGAAAAAAGGCCATTTAGAAATAACCAAGACACAGGATGTTCATCATTTATTTGCTTTATGCAGAACTACATGTACATATGTTGAGTCACAGATTTTGTTTTCTTCAATATTAGGAATTTCAGGCCTTGATGTACTGACTTTCATCATGTTTATTGCTTAGAATGCTTGAAAAATTATAATTGTAAGCAGTAATTTTAAATTATAATGAATTAAAATCTAATTAAGCAAAAATCCCTCCAGGGTGGGAAACAAAATACAATGGCTCCAAGATTGAACCCCCGTCCCCTCTCCCTCCTCCTCCTCTCAAAGTGAGAAATGAAGTAGATTGGCTCTGAGTTTGACCTCCCAGGGTCTGAATTGAAGTACAATGGCTACGAGTTTGATCCCTGTAGCTCAGTCTATCAGTTTTTTAAATCACTTTAGTCTTGGCAGATGACTACAGCTATGCCTGAAATGCTGTATATATGTATTGTTATATAGGAATAAAACTTTACTGATAAACCTGTTCCCTGATGTAAATTAAAATAAAAAAGTGTATCATGTGAAGATTCAAGTGATCAAACACAAATATTGAAAGCAGACCAGCTGCCTACTTGACAGGTTTTTGATGTAATCTTATAAAAAATATTTATACTGTATAGATATAAAAAAGAATATGACAAACTTTCAAATTTAAGACAAGTACTGTATTTTGACAAAGAGTTTACTGGTGAACACAATTCATTTATAACTTTGATATCCTAAATATTAAACGAAATCAAGGCCGTTCTGCCTTTCGAGAACAAAAACGTATTTTTCCTGTTGTTGTTGTATAAACCATATCCTGTGTAAATCCAATAATGCACCATCACCTATGATTTCAATAAAAGAAAGAAAACAAATGATATGAAGATTTCTTGATGAAGTGTTTTACTTCTAAAAATAAAAAAAGCTGTTGCCAATGAAATCTTCCATTGAAATCTGCGGTAATTTTATTATAAACCCGTTTACCTATAAGTGATATTAAAAACTTTTGATGTATAAATAAACTTCAACAGAACACAAATGCAGAGTTTGTACAGGATTTTCATGAACTTTGACTTGTGTTAAAAACATCTGGTTGCCATAGCTTAGAAAGAGACTACAAGGAGGTAGTTTCTGATGTTCAGTCGGCAGTGAAATAGATCTATAATAATTTCTTGAATAACAACATCATGAGCATTTCCATGACGACTCTGGGAGTGAGTCCAGCTGAAGCAATTTCCTTCGTCGCCATAGAAGCCATAAGAAGCCAATTACAACACAGCTAATAGATTCTATATAGTAGCCGTCTATGGTTGTCACACAGCTTCCTCCTTCAGCAGCACAGGCCTGAAAAGACCAAACCAGAGTTAAATTAAACTGACGAATAAAACAAGGTACCGTAAAGTGTAACATTACACCCCCCTCCCATTGTTTATATATTATTGTGTGTCTGTCTTTTCTGAATTTTATAAATGTTGTTAATGAGTATTAACTCTATTCCACTACTGTTACTGATATTATGATGTAGATCATGTTTTACTGTAGATGTTTATGAGTATGGTTTGACATAATTCACAAATAAAAACATGAGTATCAGTGAAATTGATGAATGCCCCCTTAAAACAACTTTATTGGACACAAAATTCTAATACAGGGCCATAATTCTGGAATTAAGGAGTTGCAGTTCCTGAATTTGGTATACTACATATTGTCTTAATATGACCAATGTATACATCAAGTTTCATGATCCTAGTTTTAATGCAAGCAAAGATATGCTCATGACACCAAAGTTTAACAAAGGGCAATAACTCTGCATTGAGGGGTCATTGGCCCTGGCTTTGTTACACTGCACCTTGCCTTTGTATGACTGATGTATACATTTTAATATCCTAATTTAGATGCAGGCAAAGTAATGTTCTGGATACTAAATTTTAACAAAAGGGCATTGACTATGTAATTAAAGGGTTGATGGCCCTAACATTGGTACAATGCACACTGTCTTTGTATGATCAATGTATACACCAAGTCTCATTATCCTAGATTGAATAAAAGAAAATTTATGCTCTGGTAAAGATATTTTTAACTCCTACCTAAAATGCAAGCAATGTTATGCCCTGGAAAATATATTTTTAACAAAATGTAATAACTCTGTAATTGAAGAGACAAAGGCCTTAAATTTGGTACACTGCACACTCTCTTAGTATGATCAATGTATACACCAAGTTTCATGATCCTTGTTTAACCATGTGCAAAGTTATCTATGGACATGAACAGAGAGAAGGGCCAATGGACGAACAAGTTAACGTATGAACGGAGAAGGAAGCAAACATTTAAGGGAGCATAAGAATGATTACAAATCATTTGTTTTCATTAATTTTGGGCTATATATAAATATGGAGTTATTTATAAAGAACAACCTTTTTTGACAAACAACAAAGAAAAACATCCAAAATGAAAACTCCTCCAGAAGCAAAATGCGTCAAATGAGTGTATAGCTTGTACAAAGATTCAGGTAGTTCTTGGAAAAACATTGCTCCCCATGAAATTGATATTTTTGCCTCTAAGTTTTCAATCTGTTTCCATGGTAACAGGGAGAAAGATTTTAAATGGAGAACTCCTCCATTGAAAAGACACAACAAGAGTACCAGTTTGATAATTGTACAAAGTTTTGAGTGGTTCAGACAAAGCCCATGCACAGAGGCAAGGAGTCCAATTCAATACCCCTCTCAAAAGTGTTTTCTGTGGGATGAAACATAATACCATCTACTGTTAACCAAATTTCAGGAATACTAACTTTCCCAATTTTTTCACCATAACAAATTTGGAAGAATATGATTTCATTAAACAGATGATTCCGGTCTTAATTTGCTGCAATTATCTATTCTGAACGTAAGTGTGTTTACATAAGAAGTCTAGTTTTTTTAAGTTCTGATGTTGCATTCTCCTATATATCAAACTTCCCTTCAGTTATTACATCATTATATTTGAAATATCTTTGAACTTAATAAATTTTGCTGACTTTGAACACTTGTGCATAACCTAAGCTAGTACAATGAATATATTTTGACAATATTCACCTCAGATTCTGACGGTGATCCACAGTTGCCAGAACTGCCCTGACATTCCTTCCAGGTCAGACCATCAATCATCCACAGAGCCACAGTGCCAGGCCAATTACCCCCTATAACAGAAACATATCAATTTATACCTGGTACATTGTAATATCAGACTTATTACCCCCTATAACAGAAACATATCAATTTATACCTGGTACATTGTAATATCAGACTTATTACCCCCTATAACAGAATTATATCAATTTACACCTGGTACATTGTAATATCAGACTTATTACCCCCTATAACAGAAACATATCAATTTATACTCAGTAAATTGTAACACCAGGTCGATTACCCTGATAACAGAAACATATCACCACTATGTAGCAATGGCATAGTAACATCTCTAATCAGACTTATGTATTCAATATTTACGATTAATTTCTACAAGGTTTTATTGATGAATGATTATCATCTATCGTTGGTAGAAATTTCTCAATCTTGTTACTTACCTAAATTTGCTAAAGTGTTGAGTAAAGTCATATATGTGCCCCCTATGGCAGGGTCGCTGATTTTAGCATGAAAAGCCATCTGAGCCACAAACATACTGTACAAAGACACCTGAAATATAATGTTTATAAGGATAAGGTATTGATCTTAAAAGCCAGTCTTTGATAATGAATTCATTTCTTTTATCAGTATTAACTTAAAATTGTTAAAATATTTGTTTTCCAAAATATCTTACTAGTATTGTATTACATAATGTGGCAGTCAAATTTTAAGTAATTATAAAATTGTATGTAAATCTATTCCGCTTGATAAAAGATTTTATTGGGACATTTTTTTACGGCATGAAAATCACTGCATCAACAGTTCAATTCAAAATCAAATTTATTAAATATGGTTACAAGTCTACATTTGGTGTATGATATTTGCCTTTCGTATATTTTGACTGCACAACATTATGACATCATCAATGTGTTTATAACAGCAGCTGTTACGATTGGATATGAAACTTCATTCTATGATTGATTTCATTTACTATTTTCATAGGAAACCTTATACTACAACATGCGTCTTGCTTTCTTATTTCATCAAAAGTATAAAATTTATGTAATTCTTAAGAATCCTCTATCAATTGAATACAAGTTCTCCCTACTTTAAATCAGAACAAAATACAATTGTATTAAAAAAAAGGCAACATTAATATAATTAAACCTATTAACAATACATGTAACACTTACCTGATGCAAAGCATAACTTCCTAATAACAAAAGATAAAAATAGACTGGGAATTCCCCGGGTGTTTCCTGGATGTGATAAGCTAGCCAAACAAGAAAAGCATACCACAGCCCAAACAATAACCTGAAATGAGGAATTCTATATGTATTTTCATGTAAGTAATTTGCAAATGTATTATTAGTATTTTTTTTTCATTTTGAAATCTGCAACAAATTCAAGCAGTTTAACTGATCTTGGAATGATTTTTCTTTTAATAAAATGAAAACATTGCCAAATTAAATTTCACTCTTAAAATTTCTGTGATAGTTTTACTACTGGACACATGACAAAATGATTATTTTCTTATTTAAAATCTTTGGTCCAAATTTCTGTATAGTCTCAAGCAAAATCCTTCAAAATGCAACAATGAAAATAATTTTTGTTCACAGAAAAGTGGAATAGAAAGTCTTTAAAGTGAAGACCTGTAAGTCAAGAATTATTAGGCCTATATTGACCTTCACTGATATTCTTTCAGTCCCTAGCTGTACAATATTTGGGTCTTAACCTACCGTACTGGCATGGCCTTCAGGAACACTGTCATTGGACTTGGACCCGAGGTAAACTTGCTGATAATCAGGGGCAATATTATTTGTATAGGGATCATAGGCACAGCAAACAATGCCAGTGTCTCCTTCTTCATCCCAGCCTCGATGAGTTTCAAAGTTGTTGCCGAGTCCGCAACCGAGAAACCAATCTGTTTTAATATACAACATGAAAACGTGATACTGACTACAAGTGTCTATATCACAGGGACTCTGTTAGAGTTCCTATCCTAGCTGTCTGAATATATATCTCATATATGTGTAATATACATACAAACCATACACCTGGGGATTTATGTCCCTTTGTTGTATTACATAAATATTGTCACCAAAAATGTTACATAGAGCACATCCACAGGTAATTGTGTAATTGGTCATAAAATGGTCATATTATACATTCAGAATTTCCCCTATAATGCCCCACCCTGCCGAGATGGAGGTAGAAGGGTGACTGCTTGAACCACCTCCCTTAGGCTAAACGATGCTTCTTATAGAAAATTTGGTAAAAATCTGCTCAGTCACTCCGGACTAGATTGTAAACGTTGCACCATATGGCATACACTCACTAATTTTGGAACAGATGAGCTAACACAGGTTTTTATTTTATGAGATCCTTCCAAAATATTATCATCACATATAAAAATGTTGCATGACCCATGACCTCTGTCGCTGACCAATGATACCTGAACTAAGACACATATTCTATAACCTGTTTACCTTGGCTGTAAGAATGATGACAGCGTAAGAAATGACAGAGGGAAGTCTGATGACATTTAACAGCTGTTTGTACGTCCCTATGACACCTTGGTCTAAATCAGCCTCAGGATCCTCCGCCTCTCGTTTCAACACCCAGACCAGTGTTGTTGTGACCACAAACACAATACCCCATATTCTAAGGAAATCTGAAATGACAGTTAAGGAAGAAGGGCGATAACTTCAGGTTCTTATCAATCCATAATTTTTTTTAAATACTGAAACGTACTACTAGATGTTTCATTTACGCCAGCCCTATATGTTACTTCATAAGTTCATTCTAATATATTCCACTTAACATAAGGTAAATTAAGATATCTTTGTTTCACTTCACCTCTGTATATCCTCTCTAGGAAATGTCAAAACTGGCAATTTTAGACTTATTTTTTTAAATCATCAGTTTCCTCTGAAATGAAATTAGTATCATATGATATATTTAACTTGAACTTAATTGCTTAATAAGGACAAATTTGTCAAAAATTCATTTCTTGCCTCATAAGGTATTTTTGATTTTTTATGTTTCATTTCAATCTTTAAATTATAAAGAGAATGACAATAACCTTTGTGGAAAGTTAAAAAAAATTCCTTACATGAGACTTACAAGTTATATAAGATTGTGAAGATATAACTTACATGACAACGTGACAATTCCTTTGTCTGATGGAACTGATCGGAGGTAGGTATTACAGAAATGTGCTGACTCCAGTGCCATGAACAAGACATTTCCGAGGAAGTAGCCAGCAGTTTGTCCTACAGTATTACATGTACTAGCCCAGCCCACATTACGTCTATCAACAATGAAATAACAACTTACATACACGAAAAAACAACTGATATTATTTCAATGACATATATTTATTCAGTGATATGAAGAATACCATTCATCTTGCGATATGTTGAATCTTTTTTCCATTATATTGTAGGCTGTTGTTAAATGTTTAGTAAATTAATAAAAATTGTACACACACAAATAAACAGCACCATATAAATTACTTCAGGTACAGTTAACCTGCAGCATAATATATACATGCTATTTCATCCTTCTAGGACTCATCAGTGATGCTATGGGTCCAAATGTTAAACATATGGAAAATCAAAATTGATCAAAAGAAATGTAAAAATCTAGATAGGGAAGTGCACTAGCCCTATAATTCAGCAATTCTCGAGATTTTCACAAACCAATTCTATTTCGCTGTCCTGCAATAATTTCACCCCTTGAATCTGATTGGAAAGTAATATGTTGGTCAAGGGCTTATAATGGAATAAATTTTGGACATTTAGTTAAAAATCTATAGAATGTTTCTTTCTCTTTTAAAGGTCAGGTGTACTACCCTTTTCATGAAGATTTTTACAGCTTATATTTTGAAAATAAAGTTTAGAGATCAACTACAGTATATATAGTTCATAACCTTATGCAGCAATATATATATATCTTGATAGTTTAATGGGTGACCAACTACATGCAATGACAATATACTAATAGATGATGCTATAGATGTTACATTGTCTAGCATTACATACCTTGATAGCATCGTAAGTGCCCAGCCGTCCACTGCAATATCTTGTGTAGCTGCCAGAAAATTCAGCATAAAGAAAATAGATGTCAGTGTGTATATATTGACAACACCACCATTCTTTCCCATCAGATCATCAATGTTGAGAGAAAGAACAAACATGAAAAGACCAATCAAATATTGTATTGGTACCAGCCAGGTCTTACGGCGTCCAAACCATGCAAAGTAAAGGGAGTCTACAAGTGGCGCCCACAGAAGCTTTATACTGAACGGCCAGAATACAAAACTAAAGATGGCTTGTTCTTTGTAGCTGACATTCTGAGTCTGCAGCAGCATAGGGATACTGCCACCTAAACCTAATGGAATTCCCTGTAATATATACAACAACATCAGCAGTGCTATATTTGAGTAATCTCCCTTGAGGCCTTGGTCTTTCCCTTTGTCAGTGTTCATATCTTCTAAATCAGGCTGTGTAATTGTGGTGTGGAGGGGTATATGAGGAGCTGAGAATTCAGGTTCTGGGTCGGTGACATCCACCAATCGATGTTGTCCTACATGCCGCTTCCGGCCGCCATTATCTTTTGTGCCTTTTGAAGCCATTGGTCCCTGACTAGATTTTAAATTATGAATTTATTCACTTGATTTTTTTTATATTGGATCAGTAATTACGTTCTCTGAATAATACACATCAGGTTGTTCTGCTTGAAGGTGCCATTCTTCATCAAGTTGTTGCGTTTTTCCTAAAAGCAAAAGTATTAACAAATGTATAGATATCACACTTTAAGAATTGAATGTTCATGAAGCTTATAAGCAAAATGATATACATTAAGTGAGCATTTTATCAAAGGCATTGACATTTAACCTGGGTTGATGGCATGCTATTCCATCTGCTGAGTGTGAAAGACTCTTTTTCAACACTACATACAATGCAAAACCAATCCAACCCTATTACATAGAACATGAAATTTGTTTTTCTTCAGATATGAAAAATCTGAAAACTAGGATCTTAATGCTACAATTCGTGAGTGAACCAGAAAAACTGATTTCTGAAGAAATGCCTTGGCAGGAATCAAACATGAGTCTCAAATGTTATAATTCATGGCTCTGCGACTGCACAAAATAAACAAACACTATATACAAGCTATAAATTTACATATAAATTACAACAAGATTGTTATTCATCTAGACTCTCACTCACTCTCAAATCAATATGACTATTCTTGACAATATTACCCAAGTACAAGACAGCTGCAAAACACAGGTACCAACATGTAATAAAATATTTAGTGCAATGTGACCCTAAACAAACCATAAGATTTTGTTATAAAGTGTAATTCTTATCGGTAATGCAGAGAGTGGACTATAATAGGTCAACCTTCCTGAATATAATGATTATATTAACAGAATCTGAACAGATGTTGAGCTGATGTGGAGCAAACCGCCTGATCGCGATCGAGTCCCGACATCGTTTACCAATCGTTAGTTATTCTGCTCGATCACCTACGTATAAACAGTGCAGACGTGAGAATACTGAAATTATTTCAAACTCAACACAAAAATAAACGTCACAGTTTCTCACCTGGTAATGTTATCCACTAAACCTTTAAATCAACGTGTCGTGACGGAAGACAAGAACCGGCGTAACTTGGATTTTGTTGTTGTCATCAACGTCTAATAAACGCTTATGTAGAATTCGAAAGCGGTTAGGGAACTACTAATGGCATGAAAAAAATCACTGAGCTGGTTGTAGATGAATGTGTAAATTCTTGTCCTATCCTTGTCAACATTTTGAGTAAATGGATTACCTTACCTAAGGATACGTTAGTATCTTCTATGGACGCTGGTCTATTCGATCAGTATATCCGCATCTAATTTATCAGTTTCGTCATTTGTTTACGTGGCATCTTCCGTTGTGTTCTATGTCCGAGTTGTGGTTATATTTTACGTCCTGGTCTTTCCAAAATTTATCCAATCTTAATTCGGAACATTAATAGTTTTTGTTTGTACCACTGATTCTGGTAGATTGTTTCAATTATCCAATGTTCTACATTTTCTCCTGTCTAATTCAAAAAATGTAAAATAAGATAAAAAGAAACAAACTCTCAAAGAAACGAACGATTCATTTAACTTATATGATTCGGCGTGACACATATTGACCAACGGTCCTTATATATGTATTATAGTGATATTGGACATTTGGTTAGGAATTCGTGCCAAATCCCTGTTCACCAAGAGTTTGTATAAGATTTTATTGTTGTTACCCATTGAAGAGGTGCGCAGACCGTCCCAGGCGATATTTCTAAAATAAAAGACGAACACAATCGATTCAAAGTGTAATAAAACTAAGAATCTACCTTACCAATATATAACCATTTAAAATTGGTATCATTTTGGGTAGCGTCACGGAAAGTTTACTTAAATTCTTGCACACAACACAATACAGATCAAATTTTAAGATATCCCCATCCATGGCAAACACTAAGAAAATGAGCGTTAATTAAACATTTCTTTTTTTTTCTGTGTTTAAGGGCCATAACTGTAGAAACAAGAAATATGTTGACAACAGATAGTCGACACATGCAGGTAACAGAATTTAAAGACATACTGATTTGAAGAGAGTTGAACAAGCTTCTGCGGTTGCTCAAGCGCCATGAAAGTCAGTATCTCGATGACGCCATACACTGTTGCATTATTTTATACAATGTATTTAATATGAATTATGAAAATTGTGACGATAGTGTATGCAAGTTATCTCCCTTCGATCTTTTGGTAATACAGAGTTATCTGCTCTTGTGAGCAGGTATTGGTTCTGTATTACGTCATTTGTTTGTGGGAGAATGACGCCAGATATGTCAGAAAACAATGTAATTTTTCAAACAAATTAATGTAACATTGACTATCTGCTCACAAGAACAGATAACTCTGTATTATGAAAAGATGAAATAACTTAGTTAATGAAACATTTGGGAATCAAACCAATCGTATGGCAAGCTGTTTTAACATTTAATCCTGTTTCCTCCTAAGGTGAAATGTTCATTAAATTATTTCACTGAAATGGAATTCATTTTGCCTTAAGGTAATTAAACTTCTTTTCGCATTAAGTTGAAAAGGAATTTCACTCAAGTGTGATTCATTTTGTAAGTCTCAAGAGATTTTTCTTTTTCACAGAACTGAAAATCTTTTTCACTTATGTGAAAGTAGACATACAGTTAGGTGTCTGATTTTTTTAATTAAACATATTTTATTGTAAATTATTTACAAAAGGATCGGGCACAAGTTATTTCAACTTATAGTTGCCCTTTTATCAATACATTACAAAACAAAAACATCACAATATCAAGTCATCAATAATTTACATAAATATTGGCTAAATATATTTTTAAAGAGAAGGGAGAGAGAGAGGGACAGAGAGGTGGGGTGGGGGTGGGGGTAGGGGGTAGAAGGGATGACGTCATTGGAAGTAAAATTATAACAGAGTTTGATGGTTTAAAACCTGTTGCTACTTTTTATAAAATGTTGGACTAGTAAAAAACTTCAGAGTTTGTTTCAGGGGAGAGTTGATCATTTCCATTAAGGAGCAGATCTAAGTCACAGTGAACTTGTAAATTCATATCATTTAAGCGTTGGAAAAGGCCATTTCTGTGAACATTATAACGATGGCATATTTCCACATACACAACTATGGGTATCCACAAGGTTCATCCGAAATAAGTCGTAATTAAGGGAACTGCAATTATGTCTAAGCTTAGTATGAATAATGTTTAGTTTACGGTTAATAATACCAAAGTAAGAAGGAGGCAAAGGAAGATCGTAAGGTATTAAAGACTTTTTGAATAAGTTAAGCGAGGCTGATGACCTGATAGAGCTATCAAGTGTATTCCAACTCCGAAGAGTAGACGGCAAGAAAGAAGACATGGTGGTTGAAAGACGACAGAATGGGATTCTATAATTATTACTGTTTCTCGAAGGATAACGAACTTCATCTTGAACAGTAGAGGAAAGTAAGGAAGATAGATATTCAGGAGTTTTGTTAGTATGCATTTTATATAAAAGATGAAGTTTCCTTCTCTTCCTTCTAGCAGACCGTGATTCTAAACCAGTTTCAAAAGTTAAAGAATGAATATTAACATAGGATGGCAGACCTGTGATAATTCTTGCTGCCTCACGTTGGGCCTTCTCTTGCATTTCAGGTTCAGAAATTGAGAACCCGTCCCATAATTTACATGCATATTCTAATACAGGTAAAATAAACGTTCGATAAATTCTTAAAAGAGCATCTCGCTTTAACACAAATTTCAATTTCTCAGAGCATTAATTGTTTTCATAACAGAAGAATAGATCATTTGTATATGATCACCCCATTTGGCACTAGAGCTGAATGTTACGCCAAGGTGCCTATGATTATCTGTAAAATCTAAAATCCTACCATCAAATTCTAATTCTAATAATTCAACAATTTCTTTTCTATTAGAAATAAAAAGAACATCAGTTTTATCTGGATTAAAAGATACTAGCCATGCTTTAGCCCATGCATTTAAAGATTCCAGATCATGGCTAAGAATAGTTTTAATTTCGTGTCAGGAAGATGAAGAGAATTGAAGAGATGTGTCATCGTGAAATATCATTAATATAAATAAGAAATAATAACGGACCTAGGATAGTACCTTGGGGAACCCCAGCATCAATACAACCCAATTTAGATAGAGATTCATTAACACATACCTGTTGTTGCCTTTGATGTAAATAATTTTTCAACCAGGCCAACAACTCTCCTTCTATACCATAGGATCTTAACTTAATACACAAACCCTTATGCCAAACACGACCAAAAGCTTTTGTTATGTCACAAAAGACTATACATGTATGCTTTTTTTTCTTCAAGAGATAAACAAATATTAGGATACATTTCAATAAGCTGAAACACTGTAGAATGGCCAGGTAGAAAACCTTATTGATATTTATAGAACAAGGAATTTTCAATAAAATAATTGTGGATATGTTTGAATACGACACGTTCAAAAACCTTGCCAACGATAGAAAGGAGAGATACTGGACGATAATTTGATGGAGAATGTCTATCACCCTTTTTGAATAGTGGCATAACTTTTGCTAATTTCCATAATTTAGGATAAATACAAGTAGACAATGACATATTAAATAATCACTCAAGAGGTTTACAAACTGAATTACAGACATTCTTTAACATATGATGACTGATTTCATCATGGCCCGAGGCTTTGCCAAAGTTCAATATTTCTAAGACATCTTTAATTTCGGTATAGTTCACTATGATAGAATTAAACTTTTTATTAATTTTTGGGGCTATGATGGGATCTGGGACATTATCCTCATCAATACGACTTATACTACAAAAATAATCATTAAGTATATCAGCTTTATCATTATCACTCATAATTATTTCATCCGTCGTTGGATCTATAAGAGTTGGAATTGTATCAGATGAACCTCTAGATTTCATTAGACGTTTAATTAATCTCCAATATGTTTTTGGGTCGGACGAAGAATAGTTATCTATTAGCCCATGGACATTTTCATAAAATATTTGTCTGTAGTACTTCTTCATATTGTTGACCTTATTTCTCTGAGTTTTAAACTGATGGATATCATGTTGTGTTTTGATTTATAAGATCATTGAATTTACCAAAATCTGCTCGTTTATATAACCAAACTTTACGTTTGTAAACTGATTTAAAAGAAAATGAAAGTTTAACACTAACCTTACAACCATCATGATCACTGATTGACCTATCAGTATCTATCACATATGAGTCTATACAGGTGTCTGAATTCTCACCCTTTTATCTATTAAAATTTTCTTTCACTTTAGTGAAAAAAAAACACATAATGGAAATAAAAATATTTTTTCTTTTAAATTGAAAAAAAACATAGTGTTAATACAAAAAATTTTTTCACTTAAGTGAAAAAAACACATAATGTATTTTTTCACTTAAGGGAAATAAAATCAAACACATCAACTTGTTTCTACCATTAACAGTTAAAGTCATATAATGCAGTAGGCATATTGATTGATTGGTCCATCATTAAAAGGTAGTGGATAAGAAACATACAGATTGCATTGACTATATTTACCTAAAACCGAAAGAAATTTCACTGAAGTGAAAATGATTTAGCATTATGTCTACACAAAATATTTTTTCACTTAAGTGAAATTCTATTTGCGTTAATGAAAGTAAACCTCAATTTGAATTTTGTTTTATTTCACTTAAATGAAAAAGAATTTCACTTACGTGAAAAAATATTCCCTTAAGAGGAAATAGGATTAAATGCTAAAATAGCTTGCCATACTATCGAGACAACAAGATCCAATTTATACAGTCGTGAATATGAATCAACCAGAACAGAGACTTACAAATGTTTATCACACATATTGACGTATCATAAACGTCTCTGATCAGATTAAAACATGAACAGATATGTATCTTTTAATAATGTAACTGCATGCTAAATTTCGCCTTGGCAGTGCCTTACCAGGCAATAATTTAACCATCTCTGTGGATGCTGTCATAACTGACTTCGGGTTCCAGATCACCGTCATAATGATTTTATTTGGGTTCCTCAATGGCGTAAGGTCTTTGACTGGCGCAAATTTCTCCGCCACTGCCCCCTTACCCTACATGCACTAAATTTCATTTGGAACTACCCCAGCACCCGATAGTAGATGATAAAACCCTCATTTTCTGAAATTAGCTAATCACGAGAGTAGCATGTACCATTCTTATTCTAAGTCTTTATGGATAATATTTTTGTTAAAAAAACAAGGGACACTATAAAAGACGACTACAATTGCGTGTTCTCTCTACAACACTTTCAAATAAGAGTATCTTGAGTTAATTCAATGTTCGGCATAACTAGTGTACGACCAGGGAAGTCAATTTTAGTTTGTTTTTATTGACATGTTCACTGGAGTCACGAGAGAAAACTGTCTGTCTGTGTATCTGCTTGGGTTTACCACTGATCACTGATCAGACACTCCATGAACAGCCCGTACATACCACTGACCAGACATTACAAGAACAGTTCGTGCATACCACTGACCAGACACTCCATGAACAGTCCGTGCATACCACTAACCAGGCACTCCATGAACAGCCCGTGTATACCACTGACCAGACACTATCAGAACAGCCCGTCACACCACTGACTAGACACAACAGGAACAGCCCGTGTATACCACTGACCAGACACTCCATGAACAGTCCGTGCATACCACTAACCAGGCACTCCATGAACAGCCCGTGTATACCACTGACCAGACACTATCAGAACAGCCCGTCACACCACTGACTAGACACAACAGGAACAGCCCGTGTATACCACTGATCAGACACTACAAGAACAGCCTGTGTATACCACTGACCAGACACGGAAAACAGCCCGTGTATACCATTGACCAAACACTATCAGAACAGCCCGTGTATACCACTAACCAGACACAACAGGAACAGCCCGTGTATACCACTGACCAGACACTACAAGAACAGCCTGTGTATACCACTGATCAGACACTACATGAACAGCCTGTGTATACCACTAACCAGACACTCCATGAACAGCCTGTGTATACCACTGACCAGACACGGAAAACAGCCCGTGTATACCATTGACCAAACACTATCAGAACAGCCCGTGTATACCAATAACCAGACACAACAGGAACAGCCCGTGTATACCACTGACCAGACACTACAAGAACAGCCTGTGTATACCACTGATCAGACACTACATGAACAGCCTGTGTATACCACTAACCAGACACTCCATGAACAGCCTGTGTATACCACTAACCAGACACTCCATGAACAGCCTGTGTATACCACTGACCAGACACGGAAAACAGCCCGTGTATACCATTGACCAAACACTATCAGAACAGCCCGTGTATACCAATAACCAGACACAACAGGAACAGCCCGTGTATACCACTGACCAGACACTACAAGAACAGCCTGTGTATACCACTGATCAGACACTACATGAACAGCCTGTGTATACCACTAACCAGACACTCCATGAACAGCCTGTGTATACCACTAACCAGACACGGAAAACAGCCCGTGTATACCATTGACCAAACACTATCAGAACAGCCCGTGTATACCAATAACCAGACACAACAGGAACAGCCCGTGTATACCACTGACCAGACACTCCATGAACAGCCTGTGTATACCACTGACCAGACACAGAAAACAGCCCGTGTATACCACTGACCAGACACTACAACAACAGCCCTTGTATACCACTGACCAGACACTACAAGAACAGCCCGTATATACCACTGACCAGATACAACAACAACAGCCCGCTGTGCTACTCTTTGATCACTGGACTCAGCGAGACGTTATCAAACTACTTATAGCTTACAAAGATTGTACAAAGACGTTATCAAACTACTTATAGCTGACAAAGATTGTACAAAGACGTTATCAAACTACTTATAGCTGGCAAAGATTGTACAAAGACGTTATCAAACTACTTATAGCTGACAAAGATTGTACAAAGAAGTTATCAAACTACTTATAGCTGGCAAAGATTGTACAAAGAAGTTATCAAACTACTTATAGCTGGCAAAGATTGTACAAAGACGTTATCAAACTACTTATAGCTGACAAAGATTGTACAAAGAAGTTATCAAACTACTTATAGCTGGCAAAGATTGTACAAAGAAGTTATCAAACTACTTATAGCTGACAAAGATTGTACAAAGACGTTATCAAACTACTTATAGCTGACAAAGATTGTACAAAGACGTTATCAAACTACTTATAGCTGACAAAGATTGTACAAAGACGTTATCAAACTACTTATAGTGACAAAGATATCAAACTACTTATAGCTGACAAAGATTGTACAAAGATCAAACTACTATAGCAAAGAAGTTATCAAACTACTTATAGCTTATCAAACTACTTATAGACAAAGATTGTACAAAGAAGTTATCAAACTACTTATAGCTGACAAAGATTGTACAAAGACGTTATCAAACTACTTATAGCTGACAAAGATTGTACAAAGACGTTATCAAACTACGTATAACTGACAAAGATTGTACAAAGAAGTTATCAAACTACTTATAGCTGACAAAGATTGTACAAAGAAGTTATCAAACTACTTATAGCTGACAAAGATTGTACAAAGAAGTTATCAAACTACTTATAGCTGGCAAAGATTGTACAAAATATATATTATTGAATAGGACCTTTTGTACAAATTTAAGAGTAAGATACAGTAGCGAAACAATGAATTAAATTTCTTTATACAACTGTTTCTTCCTTCTAGGACTCGTCAGTGATGCAAAGGGACTAATTTTTGAGACCGAGGAGGCGATTGAGAAAAATCCAAAGTGATCAAAAGTCAAAATCTAGACGGGGAATGCAACAGCAACAGAATTAAATAATTTCGTGATTTTTATATTTCAGATAATTTTAGGACAACGTCAATTACATGTGTATAATCTGAACCGGGCCACGATTCGAATATACTGAAACGTGGCATGCAGCAATCATAAAAGGGGTTCTGGCAAAACGCTTCAAGCAAATATGTGATTTTCAAGGATTTCATGAAAAAGAAATTGTTCTTTTGCATTAATTTTCTTCATACCCAGCTACGGAAATGAAAAAGAATCATCCCAAATACCAACATTAACAGTATCATTATAAAATCATCCCAAATACCAACATTAACAGTATCATTGTAAAATCATCCCAAATACCAACATTAACAGTATCATTATAAAATCATCCCAAATACCAACATTAACAGTATCATTGTAAAATCATCCCAAATACCAACATTAACAGTATCATTGTAAAATCATCCCAAATACCAACATTTACAGTATCATTGTAAAATCATCCAAAATACCAACATTTACAGTATCATTGTAAAATCATCCAAAATACCAACATTTACAGTATCATTGTAAAATCATCCAAAATACCAACATTTACAGTATCATTGTAAAATCATCCAAAATACCAACATTTACAGTATCATTGTAAAATCATCCCAAATACCAACATTTACAGTATCATTGTAAAATCATCCCAAATACCAACATTAACAGTATCATTGTAAAATCATCCAAAATACCAACATTAACAGTATCATTGTAAAATCATCCAAAATACCAACATTAACAGTATCATTGGGATCAAATTCCGGGATATCCAAAAGAGGAAGAAAATGAAACAAAAAAAAAACAAACAAAAAAAACAAAAACAAAAACAAGGCACAAATGTATGTGGAAATATATGGGTTATACATATATCCGGGGGTGGGAAACATAAACATCGTACTAATTATTAATCTCTACACACATGCACACTTGATTGTTAACATTATATATAATTATATTATATTTTATATCAACTTTATTATATAAGCAATATTTTATCAGCATTGACAAACGTATACAATACTAAGCTTGTAGGTAACTTTTGTTTTCAATTCTGTGATCTAAAAGCAGAGCTGAAGGGGATTCCGTATTCTGGTCTTGTCTCCTACAACATAACATCTTTCGAACTTTTCGCCAAACTTTTTTATTACAACAAAACATCCCGAAGTTAATTATCCCTTGAAAAGAATCTCCAATAGATTGGGCGTGTATGAAAAAGTGTTCATCCAAACTTTGAAATCCTGGCACTGGCGATCCAACACCCAGGCCAACGATACGAACCATATTTCTTATTGTACCCCATATTCTTGTAAAATAGAAATACAGTAGAACCCAAACCATCACCTTGAATTTCGACTGGTTGCGTGTACTGGCATCAATCGTTGAGTGTTCGTCTCCACTGTCCATGTTGATGGGACGCTGTAAAGTACGAACAGTATATCACTTTTCGATAACAATAAGTACTAATTGTATCAGAACCATTTTATATACACCAGAACTACCGTTGCAGTTGTAAAGGATGCTGATAGAAGTTTGTCGAGATGTTCGTATAGTGTCATAATAAACTTCCATATCAATTTTCCTTAAAATTGTACTGCATATATATTTGATGTTTGACTAAATCAGATAGCAAATTTTTTTTTCTTTTTTGTGTTTTTTTTTTAATTCCATCTTTCAGTTTTCGAGAGAAGAGTTGAAGAACTTGGTCGGAAGTAACCAGATTAACAAATCATAAAAAAAATCTATTCCAGTAATATTCATCAAATGAACATTTCTTTGTTGGGATCTCGTAAAAAAATATTGGACCATACCGTCGATATTACTTACTAGATTCTTTCTTCAAATATAATGAGATCAGATGTAAAGGTTAAATTCACAGTTGCAGTGTTTTCGTTTCTGAATCTGGGCTATAAAAGCATCGTAAAGTTTCAGAAATGAAAGCGCTAATGTTTAATTGACGTGTTATATATATATACATATATCATATATACATGTTAAGGAACAAAACAACATGTCCCCACTGAGGGGACGTACTTGTCGTTTAATTTCACCCTCAGACATATTGACTTTGAATAACAAGACATTTGATTGACTATGTCTATTGTACATATCCATCAGAACTGGAAATCAAAGTTACGTCAGACTCTTCTATATCAGCTGCTTATCTCGATCTTTTCCTTCAACGAAACCAACATTGACAGCTTTACACCAACTGTATGATAAACGTGATTATTTCAATTTCCCAATTGTGAATTTTCCGTTTCTTGATAGCAGTATTCTTGCATCTCTAATCTACGGTATTTACAGTTGATTCGATATTCAAGGGCCTGCTCCCATTATCACGATTTTCGTGCAAGAAGTCGTCAACTGACTGACAAACTCGTTACACAAGGGTTCAAAAGATGCAGGTTGAGGAAAATTATGAAGAAGTTTTACGGTCCTCATAGTGATATCATTGAGAAATATTCTATTTCTTTGTGCGATATGAAACTGGACGTATTTGATGCTCGGTAGTTTGCCTGTTGGTTCTGTTGTTGTATACCTTGTTCTAATTTTGAGAACGTGGCATTCCTTACTTGAATTGACAGATGTTTACATGGCGAGTGTCGTCGATGACGCAGAAGATGCTTACTCTTCCGGAACAACTGGTCTTGTTCCAGGAACTTCCGTGTAAATCTTTCTTTTGTGTATATTTTGCCTTTGTTTGAGTCTAAATTATGGTTATGTTGCTATATTGGTATCTTCTTGATGTTTTTTGTTCTTAGTTCATGCTTCAAATATCAGCTATTTCTAATGTATGTATAAGTACAAATATAATGCCTTATTGTTAATATTTCCAGGGTTGACAGTTTTGGAAAATGTATGATAAATCGTATGTTGAATGATGAATTCAATATCACGCATTATTTTAAAAGACGTTTTCACTTCGATAAACGTCTATTATTATATAGATAAGTATGTGTATTACTAGTATTTTAATACCATTTGTTTCGACTTCGTTCTCTTTCTTTTCTTCATCCAGATCGAGATGATGATGAGAACACTTGACAGGAAGTAAATCGAGATTTCCCAGGCCTGTTTTGTAAACAGCATCCAAAGGAGACGCGCTTTGTTTGTAAGGGATTTTTCCTTGATCCAGCACCAATTTCCAAATCGTGTTGAAGAAGCACCTAAGGACCCTGAACTTGCGGCAGATACGGTTATTATAACTGTAGATAAAAAAAATAGTAAACATTGAGACTGTATCAAAACAGCAACTGCTATGAGTGATACTGTAGAAAACAACTACTGCTATGAGTGATATTGTTTAAAACAATTACTGCTATGAGTGATATTGTTTAAAACAATTACTGCTGTGAGTGATACTGTATAAAACAATTACTGATATGAGTGATATTGTTTAAAACAATTACTGCTGTGAGTGATACTGTATAAAACAATTACTGCTATGAGTGATACTGTATAAAACAATTACTGCCATGAGTATAATAACGATAATGTACTGATGTATTCTTGAGAAAAATGGAGGTCTTCAGGGTACATACTGAAAGACATAAATGAAACTGATAACTCTGAGTGATTTTCAAAGCTTTTGCGTTTGCTTTCTTGATTTGATATCTCCAGATATAAACGAAGCCAGAAATAATAATTATATCAATTTTGTTACAAAAAATTTGTCATCTGTTTCTAATTTTTCTGTTATATGATTTCAAATAGAGTTTTTTTTAAACAATATTCAAGTTTAAGTTTAAGCATTGTGTATGCACAGAACAAAGTTTTGTAATAACTTACAAGGTATTATCCAAGCTGCGGAATGACACACCCACTTTGCCTTCCTATTATCCATCCATTGTGATCCGGCGTCCACATTGAAAGCATATATGATTATATATGCCACATACCAGTAAGAGACCAAATCAGAAAATGTGCAGATGAAGCTTTGTATAACACAAAACGAATCTGATGTCACGGCGCCGACATAATAAGTTATTCCCATAATCTGACCAATGCCAAAAGCCACATTCACCACTGCCAGACATTGTACCATACATATCACCAAATCCTTGTTTTCCCGAACAATGCACTTGAAAATCCACAATATAAGCAATGAACATATGATCGAAATGATTGTGGCCAAAATTGTCAATATTTCAACCAAGTTAGAAAAGTCTAAGCTATGCTGTGTTGGACCAATAGTAGTGTTTTCAATGATCTCGGTGCTCGTCCATATCTCCGTGCTCAGTATGACCATGTTTGAGGTGTACATTACAGTGCTTTGTGAGATGTCTTTCCTATCACACTTTATATACACTGTCTTGTGATTTTATGTCATTTGACCAGCTCACGTTTTCTTGATAAATCCCTGGTACCTACACATTTTCATATGTTTGACCGTGACCTGGGTACCTAAAGATATCTGTTCTCGGAAAGATAGCGAAGCATGCTGTCTTGCTGTAATTTGACCTTAATCACATCTCAATTGTATTATCTTGAGTGGATAAAGCAGGGTTTCCTTTATCAATCGTGTCCATGTTAAATACAGTGTATTGTTTACAAAGGCGAACCAGTCATCAACCCAGCCTGCTACAAACACCAAACTAGGCTCGGAATCTTTCATTTCAATATCACCTCGGTCATGTGTAAGCTAGCTACATTGATAATTTACCAAAATGCGGATATAAATATCGGTAACCCCTTACTTCGCAGTATTTACAGATAATAACAAAGGGTCTTGTTTGTATAACAGATTAATATACTGTATATTGTAACATACTTGTATACTGTAGGTTGTAACAGACTTATATACTATAGGCTGTAACAGACTTATATACTGTAGGTTGTAACACACTTATATACTATAGGCTGTAACAGACTTATATACTGTACATTGTAACAGACTTATATACTATAGGCTGTAACAGACTTATATACTGTAGGCTGTAACAGACTTATATACTGTAGGCTGTAACAGATTTATATAAAGTAAACCTCGGATAAGTCGAAGTCGATGGGATCAAGTAAAATATTCGACTTATCCGATGGTTCGACTCAACAGTGTTTTTGTCTATCGTTTGTAATCGAGACATCGTATATTTAAACTGACCCTATTTTCGCCGATCGTGTCTGAAAGCAAGGTGTTAATGAAAAGAACAAGACAACATCTATATTTTATAATAATAATTATCTTTTATTAAAATACAAATAAATCGTAGGTTAATGACAGTTACTGTAATCATCATTGTCACAAACACGTGGATTATGTGTACAATATTGCACAAAAGACACACGTTACACTGGGTACTTCGTGCAAACAATACTTAAAAAAATACATGTACACATATTGTGCTCACATTTATAGCATTTGCATCGTTGAGACAAATATTCTCCATCGAAGTCTAAAAGTAGATCCAGTAATCCCCCCAGATGACTTGGGTCCTTCACTAGATTGCTCATTTGAACTCATGATTGAGAGTGTGGAATGAATAACAAATCCCGAATTTTCACCCTAATTTATAGCCCCTTTTTACACTTCCACTCAAATGTTGACATTTTCACTCAAATAAAATAACAACTCACGGGCAAAAAGTAAACATGAGATGTTTTATTTCAATGGTTGTTTGATCGCATAGTTCTTGGTAAAATGAGATATGCACCTGTATAAACAAAAGATTAGGTGGATGGGTACCCTGACATCACAAATATGGAATTTTTTGTACGATTTAGAAGGGACGGACTACAAATTATATTCGACACAACCACTGTATTCGATTCAACAGTGTTCGATTCATCCGTGTTTAATTTACTAAGATATAGAGGAGAAAAAATCGGGACCTAACGAAACGTTCGACTCATCCGATGTATTCGACTCATGCGTGTTCGACACAAGTGAGTTTTACTGTACTGTAGGTCGTATCCTGAATAATTTGAATGCAATTATCACAACACCATCAAAAACTAAGACACAATTTTGTTCAAAATGGTCCTTCATTTGTTCTTACCTAACCAAATCTCTCTATTCTGCCACCGATGGCGTTAAGCTGCGATCATTTTCCTGTCAAGTTGTCTGATCTTTATTCAAAGCGTCAATGAGTCACAACAAACATTGCAATGTGTCTCTAGAAAATATCTTTTAAAAAACTCATTGAAGTTTGCGACATCAAAAATATATCCTACATGTCTAGCAACTTTTTTTTAAATTGAGTTTATGTTTATTTTTAAAATGCAAAATGTAATTAATGTCCCTGTAACCAGAAGGTTTAGCTGGTGCAAATCGTCAAGTTTTGGTCTCAAATAGAAGGGAGTTTTAAAGTAAACAAAATGCTCTTGTTACGTAATGAAACAATCATAAAGTCAAAATACAGATCACTGCGCTTGTACAATGCTATGAGTGATACAGTTTTACATAATAGTGTAATACACACCACACGTCTGAAATATCAGTTGACCTTTTGACCTATTCTAGACTTGGCTGTAGTGATTAATCACTTATTCTTTACAATTTTGTCAGGATATAGCATGAACAATATTTAAATTACAAGACATTGAAATTAAGTAAACAAAATATTATACTCCACCGGACAGAAATATCCACACTTTGGGCTGTCTTGCCGGGGTAAGATAGAAATACCTTGCCCCGGAAAGACAACATGCACCCACAGGAAGTGACGTTAGGGTTTCGTGTAATTGTTAATGCCTAAAATATCTATGAAATGCAAATCGACTATACCTATGGTTATTGTCGCATGTGTATTTATTTGTATATTTATTTCAAAGGGGGGGGGAGTGGGTAGAAATAGAACCATTCCCTACCTTGATTGTAGGCCATATAAATCTCTACCCTCGGAGGAGACTCTTGACAGTCTAACCTTCAGCAAAGCCTCGGGTTAGACAATCAGGAATCTCTTCCTCGGGTAGAGATACCTCTGTCCTACCCTCGAGCAAGGGAAAGATCCTATTATTAAAAGCAGTAGACAGATGTGCCAATATTAATCAAATTTTGAATCACTTTCTACCAAATTTCATGCGTTAAGACGGCAGTTGAACCCATCATTATGAGGATTCATTATGACAGTAAATACATTTTTAAATATTTCAAAAATTGGACCATTCTCAGACTATTTTATTTGATATGTGTTCACTTCACTTTCACATTTGTCATGATCAAACATTTGGTGCCAAAAATCGTCCCACTACATTATAAGAAGACCTTGAACTAATAACAGCTTTCATTATGATGTTCTGCTGTGATAGTTTACCTCCCAGTAAGGTATGTAAGATACATATGTGAATAAATTTGTCCATATCTCTTAAACGGCCCACTGTTTGTACGTGTGTACGCTTTATGCAAGCAGCATAGGTAAAAGTGAAGCGTCCTCTGGTTGTATCTTTTAAAATACCAAATACAATTAGCGATATCAAATGATATGTGATTAGAGGTTATGATACACTAATGTATCAAGTTTCTGTTTAATAACAAGATGCCAACGGCCTCGATGTACCTGGCAAAATGTTTAGTGTTCACAACTTCTTGTTAACAAGATCGGTGCACAGAAATCTTCTACCTACATAATGAGAACACAAACAAGAAGCCAAGAGCACCGACGACTAGGTACCAACTAACTAATCACACCATAACAGACCAATAGCTCGTGCTACCAAACATCATTCAACAACTATTGTCTCATGATTATTACAATAAAACTATCCTTAGTGAATATCTGCACAAGAGAGGATTGAACTTGAAAACTCAATACAGTATTTAACTCTAGCGATGACAACTTTTTAACAAAGAGTTACCTACCCTTGCAAAGATCAAGGAGCAACCCGATTTCTCCCATAGCGATAGTGAAACTATTCCTAACGTCGGTATAACAGTAGATAATAATGCGATCCGCCCGCACTGCAGCGATACCTGTCCTGAACTTTTCCTGATGTGTGAGGACTGTGTCCATCGAACCCCTACGAATGTAAACAGCTATTATCAACAGAAATTGCAGAATAGGACAACATTAATCGTCAATGATCTTGCAAGAGCTGACACCATTCAGGGTTGTCATTTGTAGCTAATAAAACTACACATTCTGAAGTTACTGACAGTGATAACGAAAGCAACCCATACAGTCTTTATCCTCATCAACAACTTAGCAACTATAACAACTTGTGGCATGGAAGAGTAACGCCAGAAACAAGAACTGGTAAAAGATTTTTAAAAAATCCATCAAGGAGAAGGAAACTAGACGATTTAAAACCAAAGAGAGTAATATAAAAAAAACCTGTTGCAACAGTTGGCATCATCTAAGGTATATGTTATTAACAGATAGCTGATCTGAGATCATCGTTACAGCCGAGAAACATATCAAGAACGCAGGAGCCTTTAGAGTATGTGGTTAGTATACAATACAGACAAAACGACAGACACCTAAAGGCAAGAATGCAGTAAAATGCTTGATAACAAAATGAATTGTAAACCGGGGAGTATCAATATATTAATGGAACTGAAAATCAAGCAGCTATTTAACATCAATTCTGGATCTCGGGTTAAAAATGGTGGAAGGCGGCACACGTATTTGTGAATTTCATGAGTAGCGAGATGACGATTGTCGGAAGAAATAGTATCAACCTCGTGTACCTACAATCCTAAAACATCGACCAAGCTCTTCGGATCTTCCATGTAGCACAAGCCAATAGAAAGAAAGCCAAAATACGTCTGTAACAACAGTCAACAAATAACCACCATAATACCATGGAAATGAGCACAAATGATCGCATTGAATATTATACAACTATGCAATCATGTGCTAAAGCAGCTTGTCCTACCAGAAAAATATTAACAAGGACACACACAGGAAAATGGAACGAGAAACTGAATGTGAAAGCAAGAGGGCTCACTTGCTAGGGAACAATCTGGGAAACCAGCTATTACTTGGTCGGGTGTCGCAGTGGTAACGCACTTGCCTTACACCTAGCCGTCTGGGGTTCGATTACCGGAACGGACATGATGAGGTAGAGGGTAATCTGTCTGACCATATGGTTTCCTCGGGTACTCATTTTTTTCAACAGTAAGACCCCGCGCGCTTCCATCCGAAGCAACAGGGGTGATTTATATAAGCTAATAGCTTGTTTAACAATTGTTCATATTTATTTATTTATCTATAAAATGTAAAGAAGACGCTAAGAAATCACCAGACACAAACCAATGCCTAGGATAGCAAGCATACTTACAATAGTTTAATGAAGACTCACCTGTGTGAT